CCCCAAAATTGGGATTTCTTTTGGACCAGACCCCCAGGAGGCAACCCTGTCGAGCTCCTTTAGATCAACATCTCCAACCCTTTTCCTCTAGGAACCGCTGCGCACCGATGAAGGGAAACGGTCACTACGTTCAAGCGAGAGCAGACGCCATGTGGGCAAAAGTTGCTGGAATCGAGCCCTTGAGAATCACACATCGCAGGGAACTCTATTGAACTCTTTCTGAGTGCATCCCAGTTCCCACCATGGTAGGTAACTCAACATTTTATGTCTGGCTTTCTGGCTTCTGCAGGATAAACACCCCCGGTTAACCCGCCAAAGCGCACTACATGGAATCACTGGCTAAAGGGAACCAAACCAATTTTGAACTCTCGAATTGAACATTGTTTAGGAACAGCAACCGGAGAAACCCGGTCTTTCACCCTGCACCCCCAAACCCGGGGATTCTTCCGTACCGACCTTTTTCATCGGGGCTCCCGGCTCGCTGATCCGCTGTAGGTACTGCCTCTCCTTGTCCTAGCCATCGTGTCGGGCTGATTCCAACCGTTTTTGGGATCTGTCACGAAGCCCGTTTAACTCTGAAACCTAAGGTGTGAGCATCTTTTGATCAAGAGGTCTTTTTTGGAACGGGGCACCACGAGGAAATGAACCATTTGGAAGGGTCATGGACATCACATTGCCGCACCAGGCGGGCTTTTCTTTAGGGGAACATTCCATCTGAACATGTGCCAGCGGATTCTCGAATCAGGATCCCCACGCTGGTGAGGTTCGCTCGGATTCACAGCTTTAGCACCGTCCAAGAGGGAATGATTACGCGGCAACGCCGAGAAGATCAACGCAACATACGGCGATGTGGGGTAAGAGCGCCAAATGTACGAACAGGGGGAGGGGTGGGGGGGGGGGGAATTTTTAGGGGACAAATGTCCCCCATCCACAGTCTCTAAGTTCGCGAACGCCACGGGGCTGGAACCAGCACCTTCCTTTCCCTGGAAGGGGTGGAGGCTCGATGGAGGAGCATATCATCCTACGCCCCTTTCAGGTTGGTGTTGCTCAACTAGTTGAGGTTATCCAACCTTCAAAGGGGTGAACTCAATGCTGCTCACCAGAATCATTCTCAAAGATCACATCTTTGGTTTTAGTCCTCTAGTGGTCTTTTTGGCGGTTTTTGAAGGAACACCGAAAGGAAAACCGCCATTTTGGGGGTCCCCCCCAAAAAAAACAACAACACACACACAACCATGTCCTGACTTTGCCCCCACCCCATCCATCCTGCGAGCTGCCACCTGCAGCTGCAAGTCGGAAGCTGGCAGGGTCCAGTAGAGAGGTTAGAATAAGGGTACCCTTTTTTCTGTAGTCCATGGTAGTAGGGGAACCCTCCCCTCAAAAAGGGTGAAAGGGCACTGCTGGGGGACCTAGTCCCTTACAAGCCAGGGGACAAATTCACATTTACTTTCTTAAGCAAACGGAAGGAACCTCGAGTTCGGCTTCTGGTCCTTCAGTTCGAGCGAGCGACCTTGCCCCAGCCAATGCGATCCCTTCCAAGACGGATCCGACGCTCCCGCAAAACCTTCGCTTCTTGCTGCTGGAAAGGAAACTCAGGTAAACCAAAAGGCCTGACCATGTTGGGATGGGGTAAAAGTATGGATTCCAACTGAGAAGGGACTTTCATGGGTGATCTATCTCCTTTTCGCTTGTTCAAAATGAACGAGTGCCGACCTTCCTTGACTTGTCCCTTCAAAGAAAGAAGTGAATAAGCGCTCCATCATGTTCTTCTTACCTTTTGCAGGCGGGTTCCCCTGGTGGGAAATTTGCTCATCTTCTGGCAGTGAAACGTGGTGCATTATTTGTGCTTTTGATTTCCTATAATCCTCAAGTAAACCGTGGGCAAATGGATTCACCTGGGACTTTGAAGGAGAGTCCCCTCATCTCATGAGACAATATTGCTAGGTATCGCTGGGACTAGCCAGGCACCTGCTTCTGCACAGAAGTCGCCCATCATTTGCTAGCAACCGCCAAATTGGCAGAAACCCACATGTACCTTTTTCCAGAATGCACTAGATGGGGCGGTCTTTTTTGCGGATACCATAAGCTGGTTGCTTTAAGGACGGAAACCAGAAGGAGAACCGCTGCCTTTTCGGGGGGAGTCCCTTACAAAGAAGGACACACGCCCATAGATCTGCTCGCTGGGGCTCCGGGCTGGGTGTAGGGTCAGACCTAAGACTTTGGATCTGGATGCGCGGTTTCTTGGGGGAACCCCACGTTGCCACAGCTCCTGAAGAGGAACCCGGTGCCTACAGGAAAAGGATCATTTTTGCTGGTGCCGCTCTTTTCCAGGTGCTATGTTGGAAGGGAGGGGTGCCCTTTTCCAGGTACGGGGGTGGTTTCCACCCCCTCTTGCTTGGCAAAAGGGAAGCTAAAAGGAAACCGACCCTTCTGGACCTGGTGTGGAGCGGTTCCGCACCAGGGTTCCGCAAGAAAACCATGGGCTTTGCTGTTGAGAATGCCAAGAGCGCAGAGATGAAGCTTCGCTGCAGAAGCTATGAGCAGTGCCCCAAACCCGGTGACCCTGGTGAAACTGCAACAGCCACTTCGCTGCATGGCGATTATTCCCACCGAGTGAGTGGCGTGCGCTTCTGTCTCGCGTTGCTACTTGAGAGCGCGGACAAAAGCCGAGGCTTTGTGGGGCCCCTAAAGTGATGGCTTTCATGTGTCTGCAGCTTCGGATTACTTCCTTTGATAACATAAGGATTCCAAGAATCCTCAGGCCTTGTCTCCATGCTCCCAGTGGATCCATGCCAGTTACCAGTAAAGCAGGCCGGCGATGTCCATTTGGGTGTCTCAACTATTTAGGGTACCTCGTTTTTTGGTGGTTTTAGAGGGAAACCAAAGGAATACGTACCGTTTTGTTCCCTGCCCCCTCACACCTTGGCGCCCGGCGTGCGCCGGTCGCTCCCGTCGGTGTCCTACGACCCCGGCCGGGCCAAGCTGCTACGACTCGAGGCAACAAGGGAACCACGTGGAGGTTGATCAAAAGGTCCTTTACCTGGAATGATCATTAGGGAAACCCCCATGTACAACCTGAAGGTCAGAACCCAGATTGCTTTCTAGTGTGGCTTGCCTGGAAGCAGTGGGATTGATTGAACATCCTTTGGCTTTCCAGGGGGCAGGGTATCGGGGTAAGGCTGTTGACATGAGTTGACTGGCTTGAAACTTTCTTGCCCTAGAAGAGGCAAGCTCGGAATGAGAATAGTCAGTGTACCGTTGCTTCGCAAAAGAGACCGCCAAGGCTAGCTTCTGTTGTGCTTCCGAAACAGACCTTAACTTCAAGTTTCAGGAAACATCAAGAAGGTTTCAGGAAACAACATGCCAGTTGAGAAACCCTCTTCAACACCTGCATGAGACATTGAAGATGCAACAATATTTTTGGGAGCAGCATACAGTTTCTCAACGCTGAAGGTCTCTGCGCCCCATGAAATACAGATCAGCACATTGATTTTTGGCGGGTTTCCCCCATTTCCCTTAAGAAACATGGAGCCTGCAAGAGGGCCGATTCAAAGTTGGTTCTGCTTCCAGGTCCCTTGTTCCGGGCGATGAGTATCTCCCTTCTCACCCGAGTAGACTGGCCAACCATAAAGTCGACAAACTGTTCGTTCACAAAAACAGGTCCGAACCCCACATGTGTTCATTAAAAGCCATGTTACTGCTGCTTCCTCCCGACTCTGCCCACCCCAGTCCATCCCGGCGGACTCTTCGTCACCTGGCGAGCGGGCCTTTGTTTGGAAGGAAAACCGCCCAGTTTAGGGGTCCCCAATCAAAAGCTATGGTTGTAGTAAACTATCAGTAATTATGTATCTGAAATCATGTCTCTTGAGTATAAGTTCCATGACCATGGCAGAAAAACAAATGAGCCCAGGTGGTATCCTTAACAGAAAGCCCGAGAACCCTGGAAAATCCTGGAAAGGATCCGGAAAGGATATGAGCACTCAAACATGGCCGGTTCTTCCTTTTGCTTCCCTTTGGACACCATCCAAAAGCGGGCCCTTGAGACATACCCAAGTGTCGTTTAAGCTCTTCGACATCAGAATTTGCAGCTTTCAGCTCGCTCCTTGGATCGGCCACGTTACAGACCTGTACCTGTGAGCTGGCCGCATTCGGGGTCGCCAACTTTCCACCTCTGGAGGTGCCCGAAATGTCGGAAGAGGTGCACTGAAGAGGGCTCTACCTGCTCACCCCTGCCTCGTGAGCCAGAATGAAGACCTGGTAGTACTGCAAGATTGTGCATGGGCTCTTGTGAACAAATCGCCGGTGTTTGAGGCCCAGAAGGATACCCGTCTTCTTCCGGCAGACATGGTGCACCCCGCAGCTGGCGAATAAATCGTCACTGTGAAGTTTAGAATGTGAAATCATGTCAAAAGAGGCCGCCAAAGTATGGATCCAGTTGAACATCCCGCAAGTTACCCTGGTTTGTGGCTGGCTTACTTGCAACGCTTTGAGAAGCCACCGTGATGCTGAGGATGAATAAGCCTGGCCTGGCAGGTTAATGGGGGGGGAACAAAAGTGAGGCTGGCAGCCACATCGGTCAACCAGCAAATTCTCAATTCTGGGTGCTTGGGAGCAGAATCCCCCGCAAAAAAACGTGAACAAACAAAACGGAGGCCAAAGCAAAAGGTGAAGCTTCCATATGGGGCGAAAAAATTGGGACCTGATGGACAATGGAGGGCCCTTTTGGGGTGGGACAAAACCACGGGACTGAGTTGAAGCCGCTTCGGTCCATGGCAAGGTGGGTAACGTTTGTTGCCCATTCACCGACAGCCGCCCGAAAATTTCAACCCCCCTGTCCCCTTTGCCCAACACAAGACACAGAAAATAGGCTCTAGTACTCTTCAGATGCAGAAGGGAACGTAGAAAACCGCCAGATGATCTCTGCATCGAAGCCCATTCGCGTGCAGTCTCTGCCAAGTCCAAAGCATCGGAGAAGTGCGGTACTATCTTCGACGAAATCTTCATATCGAGGCAAGCAATGCAATGACAAAAGACCCTGGGCTGGGCCCTAAGAACTCGGCCTTGCCAGTAGCCCAGCTCCCGCAACGCCGTGAGCAAGCTGCGGCGCCTCGGGACTCGGGAGGCGGAGCTGAAGGAGCGTGGGGGTGCGGAATCCCCAGCTTCGGTGGAGACCATATGGCTGTGGCTCACAAAATGGGTACCCAAAATGGAACCCTGGTAAATGGAACCAAGGACTAAAACCTGTGGTCCCCTGGTGGTTTAATTTTTGACCCATACCCATATGAGGCAACATTTCAGATTTCAAGACATGGGGACAATTGATGAGTCTGGGTTTTTGTGGGACATTTAGCGAGGCTGTGCCTCTCCAAAATGGAATTTAGCCTCGGGATCTGTTGCTGGGTAATCCATCAGATAGGAGCCTTCTATGATTGTGGGAAGGAAAGGGTTGGTTCCAAGTTCCACTTCTGCGATACCAGAAAACCGCTACCCTCCTTACAGAAGTGGCAGCCCAATTCCCACAACACCGTGGATTGACATGTGTCAAAAAAGTGGTACCCCCTCCAAAATATGTGGTTTTCCTTCTGCCTTCTCTTTAAACCCTTTTAAACCAACCTCAAAACAGGGTACCCCCAAAAACAAACACCCACACCCACATGGAACAACCCCACGAAACTCCCTTTTCAGCTGCTTATAGGTTCCTTCTGCCACGATCGGTGCAGCTCTGGGGCCCCCCGGCTCGCGGTCCCGGCGCCGCTGGGCGATGTCCAGCTCGATGCGCCGGTCCTCCACCTCCCGCTCCATCTCCTGCGCTGCGCCCGGAGCGAAGCATCCGAAGCCGCGAAAGGAGAAAGGAGAAACGCCGGGAATCGACTTTCCACGTACCTGTAAGCCGAGGCTCAATGGGTAAGTGGTGCAACTGGGAAGCCATAAGTCAAGGTTTGAGCATACCCAGTGAGCCCATTTATAAGCATATTAGCACCCAAACTCTGAATAGACAACACCATCTTGTCTATTCTACAGTGTAGTAGGTAAGCAAGGGGTGTCCCACCCTTTAAACAAATTGAAAGGTGCAGCGTGACCTACTGGCAAAACGCGTGGGATCGCCTCTTCTTCTCTGCCTTTAGTTTAGTTTGCTCCGAAAGGTTGAGACAAGTGGGTTTTGGCGACTGCCCCAATGGAACCAACGGCAAAGAAGACTAGAACCGCCATGTTGTTTGGGAAGGAGAGCCACAGCACAAGCTCTGGCTGGCCCGAATTGAGACTTGGTCCATGTTGGAGGCTGAACCGATGTCGGCATTTGTCCTTATAAGAAATAATAAATGTTGATCCAGTAAAGGGACACCAAAAAGGAAACCCGAAACCCATCTTGGGATCACCTATCAAACCACCTCAAAAAGGATATGTACCCTCAAAAGGAACAGAACCAAATGGTGTGAATTTTGAAGGGTACCCGGTACCCCTGTTTGGGGTGGCAACCGCTTCCGCCTCTTCAAATATAAAATAGGTGAAGAGAAGACTCAGTGATGCCATTCACCAATGTAGTAGGTAACCAAAGGAGCGACCCTTCAAGAACAAGAAAGAGAATGGCTGGTTCCCTACTATCTGCCTTGGGGATCCACTGAGCCAAATATGGGGTTTGTCTCAGAATAGGGACCCTCAACATGGCAGCAACCAGCCGGGAACGGCTTCCCTCGAGAAAGCACACACCCACAACAGGCTACGAATCTTAAGAGTCGGAACCCCCAAGTGGTTGGTGGACAAGAATCCCCACGGAATTGTGAAGTCCACCAAAGGGCCCCATGTTAAATTCACGCCGTATGGGTCAAAATAAACCCACCAGGGGACCGCAGGTTCTAGTCTTTGGTTCCATTTATCAGAGTTCCATTTTGGGTACGCATTTTTGACCCACAGCCATCTCTTAAATTTCCACCTTCCCGACTCGGTCGGCTCCTCCACCTGCTGCAGCGTGGCCGCGAGCTCCCGGGCGGTGGTCTCCCGCTCGCTCAGCAGGCGCCGCCACTCGATGAGACCATCTGGGCGAGCCGTTGACCCGAGCACTTAGCCCGGCCCAGGGTTACGCGGCTAAAGAGGTTCTGTGTCCATCTCATATTTTTGGAGGAGACCTCAGACTAAATCAGCAAGACCTGGAAAGGTGCGGTTTGCATTGGTGGTTTAGGTTGGGGGGGGTGAAGTCTCCTTCTGACCCTTTGAAGTAAACTGACTTGCTTATTTCCTCCAAAAGAAAACCGTGCCTTAAACAAGCCCCCCGTATATTCTCCAACTACACTCCTTGACTTGCACGAAAATGGCGAGGCTCGAGGAATTTCTGCATAGGGTCGGCTTCCATGTTGCCTTGATAACTATCACTCACTCACTCAGTCCCTCAGTCGCTCTCGCCCTCCACTCGGCCTCGCTGAACTGAGCATGAAAGCTACGCATGAAGGGGTTCTCCGGTCCTTCAACTGGCTGGCTGCTGGTTGGTTGTGGGTCAACTTTTTTGCTGCGATGGTTGTAGGTTGCCGGCTGTTGGTTAGTTATTATTTTTGGGTTGGCTGTTGTTTGCTGATTGTTTGGTTAGTTGGTCGGTTGCTTCTTAGTTGGTTGTTTGCTGTTGGCGGCTGGTTGTTGGTTTGGTTGTTTGTCTGCTGGTAGCAACAGCAAACAGCTAACAGCAAAACAACCAAGCAACCGACCAACTAGTCTACAAGAACTACAAATGAACAAACACACCAAACAACGCAAAGAAACCAAACCAAAACAACCAACCAAACAAGCACACCAAGCTCGCCAACCAACCAACCAACCAACCAACCAACCAACCCAACCCAACCCAACCCAACCCAACCCAACCCAACCCAACCCAACCCAACTCAACCCAACCAACTATCGACCACCAGCAAACGACCACCAACAGCCAACTGCAACGAACCAACAACAAACAGCCAGCACAACCAGCAGGCCAACCAAAAACCAACAGCCAACAAGCAACAGCCAACAAGCAACAGCCAACAAGCAACAGCCAACAAGCAACAGCCAACAAGCAACAACCAACAGCCAGCACCAACAGCCGACAGCACACAGCCAGCCGCAGCCAACCAACAGCCCACAGCCAACCCATAGAAAACAGGCAATGGGCTCCACAAAATCAACACAGCACCCAGATACCAACGGGACCGAGACAATCTCAGCAAGATCCGATGCGCGGACATTTGGGTAATGGATTGGACGCTATTGGGGAATTGCCATCTAAATGGTTTGAAGGGCTGTCCTGCCAGGTCCCACAAGTAGATTTCAAAGCCCCTCTGAAACGGACCCAGCCCTCTTCAACGGAGTCCGGGCAACTTACAAAGCCAGAAACAAGGAGTGCCCCCAAGGCATGGAATTGAGTGAGAGCGCGGCTTTTCTACCCCCGAAAAGATGCAACTCCCTCCGGCGCCTTCGTCCACCCCTGACGCCACTTGTGGCTGCGGGTGCCTGGTGGGCGCTTCCGATTTGGTCGAGCCCGCCGAGTTTGTGGAGCCCGCGGTTGGCCCAAGCGAATTTGTTCGCACAACCTTCTTTCGGTTTCTCTTTCGGGCGGGGGCCAAGCTTCAACCCGACATTCTAGATTTGGGTACCCCAAGAAGACATATACCCATTTAATTTATTACAATCAATTCCCCAGAAGGTCAGTCCCTGTCAACCGTTGTGACCGGGCTCCCAATGCGAGAAGCTCGGCTCCCCTTTCTGCCTCTTGTGGGCTCCCTTTGGAAAGTATGCTTGGGCGGTTTGTACAAACTCTGGGCTCAGATTCCCAACAGTTGAACTTTTAGTGGGGTGAATGGCAACCACCACTATGTAAAAAAAAAGCTTCGAGCCTAAGGGGACGGCTGGAGACCCCAAACTGCAGGATGTGCCGATCCACAGGGGATCCAACCTCCCACCTCAAAGGTGGGATCTGACCGAATGATGAACACCTCTCACTGCTCTTTCATGTTAACCCCGTAACCAAAGAAACCGGTCACAGGGGCTTGATGTTCCTTCCCCACCCCTTTCGTGCCGTGGTCTGCCTCCGTGCAAAGTTGACTTCATGTGACAGGATATGAGTTCATGGCTTCGTTCCCCTGAACTGCTCTTCGAAGGTGTGCCAGAAACTCCTGAGATCCTATTTTGTTTCAATTTGGCTTGTGTTTGGCTGATACCCCTTAAACCTTGGTATATGACCACATCGTTTAAAACAAGAGTCACGGAGTTCCCAGGTCTTTGCAACTTGGTTTGTGCTTGGGCTTCGGCTTGCTGATGATGCCAAGCACCCAAACGCGCAATGCCAAACCCCACACAGACCGAGCGGCTAAAGCGTGGCTCGAGGTCCGTGCCAAATGTTCCTTGGTTTGTTATGTTTGTTCCTGCATCAGCCTCCAGGGGGGTGATTTTGTCCATCCACGTGCATCCAACAACGGAGTCCCGGCGATTTAAGATTTTTCCCCCGAACTACTTGGCACCCAAGGGAAGAGGTATCTACCCAGTGGCTCAGTGGGTATATTCCCAGCATGTCTCTGCGTCCTTTGGGGTAGCGGTTCAGCATCTTGGAAATTGGCGCCCTATGGTTTGATTCTTTTGATCCGACTTGGTGTAGGTGGCGCGGTTCAGCGCAAATTACAGTGCTCTCAGAAAGATATCCGTGATGGAGATTCCGTCTCCTGAAACCCCTGTTTCAGGTTTGGCGAAGGAATGTAATTCGTCCAGTGGGTTTGGGGGAAACATGTTGGTTTGGACTTGACGGGACATCGGTGCACACGACAGGTTGAAGATGCAACTCGTTTGAACCGCCGCACGGAAGGCAGAATATGTGCCTCCTTTTTGCAGAGGCATTCTCTACAAAAACTGGCATGCTTGCCCAGAGTGGTTCAGCTTCGTGCACAAACCCTTATGCAAGAACCCCTGCAGTTACCCGAAACCAGCCAACAACCCTTGAGGTATGCCCCGGTCAAAACTCCTTGTCGTTGTGCCGTAGCAGACATGCGTCGACAGGACTGAGCATACCCGGCGAACGACTGGACTCCGAAAAATGTCCTGTTTGGCCAAGAACCGACGCCCAAAACTGCCCGCCAGTCGCAACAGATCTTCGGCCGGGCGTCCGGGCTCAGTCGCGGGCTCTGGCTCGGGCGCGATCGGCGGCGCGGATGGCTCCTCGCCTGCTCCTTCGATCAAGCCCAAGCACTTGCTCTCAACAGCCAAGCGAGTCTCGCTAGATACGCCGCCTTGACCTGCCAATTTGTCCGGCACCGGTGTTTGGAACAAAGCTGCCTTAAACGACAGAGGCTAAGCCCCATGGAAGCCATTAAAAAGGATGCCCCTCAAGCTACTCAGGGCGCCAGCAAAAAACAACATCCCAGTATTCTTGCACATTGCTTAGATAGCGCACGATGAAGCTCCAGAAAGGCCAAAAAACATTAATGTTTTTTCTAACATCTATCACAGTTCAAAGCCGTTTGCGCACTCTTTTGATTTGTCAGACGAATCGGTTCCTTGGCTCCCTGTCTAACTTTATGGCGAGACTTCTTTTTGGGCATGGGGGTATGCGCATCTAGCCAAGGGGGTCATTTGTCCCAATGGGCACTTTTTAAAAAGTACGCCTCCAGATTCCCGTTTCAAACCCATGGTTTTGTGTCCAAACATATGGATCTTTACTCCCGCCTGCTTGAAGCAAAGTCATGTTTGGAGTGCCTGTCGCTGGCGGTTCAAAATGGGGCTGTCCTTGGACGAAGGGCTTGTCTTGAACTCTGCTCAAATGATGGGGCATTACATCATGTACCGGGATATGTATTGATACACGCTGCGTGTGTTCTTGGAGTAGGATTTTAGAGGAATGATAGAAGGAGTTGGTAGGTCCACTGATACATATATATATATATATGAGAATAATAAGTGCACTGATCCCTTCGAACTGAACTACATTCCAAGAGCAGGCCACGTAGTTTGGGACTGTCGGAACCGCACGACACGTCGGCTCGACGCAAGCGGCAGGCCTTGCTGCGCTGCCTGCACAACCCCACTTCAGCCGGACCCGGAAAATACAAGCAGGTAGCCTCCCCCGAATTGGTGGCTTGGATTGGTGGTTTGGAGGTTTGGGGGTGGTTTCCCATCTAGCCTCTACAAGATCCAGGGGTTCACATCCCCAAACCACCAATCCAAACCACTAATTAGGGTTACATGAGGTATGGAAATGGAGAGGAGAACATAAAGCCTAGAGGTAAGGAACCCTGATTGCCTATAACTGGAAGCACTGGGCTGAATTGACAGAAGAAATATAAAGCAGTTCCTGGACCCTCAAATTACCCATAACTCATTGCAAATAGCCCCGTAAATGTGGGTTGCAATATATATATATATATATCCCATTGTTCGGGTGGTTTGACGGTCCAGGTAGCTTGAGTTTACCTTGGTGGGGCGTTGAGATGAGCCGAAATAGGAAAACCCAGAGGTCTCGATTCGCGGGGGAGTGAGCTTTGTCCAATGCAACGCTTCTCTTTGCCAGAATCAGCCTGCAACAACCTTCCCAAACCAAAAAAAAAACAACGCGTGGCACTTGTCGAAGCAAATATCAAGAAGCTTCTTGCTCGTTCTACAAACTGAGTGGTTCTTCCACAAATCGATCACCTTGCCGCGGCTTGGAAAAAATCAACTACTCAGCTCCAGGTTGACATGGAATCTCCGAACACCCTCATGTTTAAAGGAACCTCCTCTTGGGTTTGCTTTTTGGGTAATCTGCAGGGGACTTGCCGAAAAGATCATGCTGGGCCGATTCAGATCGCCCAAACTGCTCCAATCCTCATTTACAACAGAGCTCCCTATATTCCTTCGAACGCAAGACTCTTGCACGTGCACCTTGAGGATACGCAAGTCTGAACCTTTGAAAAGGGTGCGGATGTTTTGACCAAGTTGCTTCTCTTGTTGACCCAAGGGACAAGGGGAGCCCTCCATTTGCTGAAGTCCCCTGGACAAAGTAACAATACTTCGAGTAGTGGTGGAAACCATTCAAAGCCAACTGGCGGCTATTGCCAGACCATTCGGCTTTTGGCTCTACCAACATGATTGTAAAGATTTATAATTACACCCTGTACTATACCCTCTTTCCAGCAACGGAAGTGGACAGGAGGGGTTTACAAGAGTATCATCTTGTTGCAAAAGCCCCTTGTCCACTTCCAGCAGTGAAAAGGGTAAGCCTGATGAAACCAAGTACCAGCTACGTCCCAAAGAGAACGGCTCGGGACCCGCCTCGCCAGAGATCATGCGTATCTCCTGCGCTTGCCGGTTTCTCCGGCAAAAAAACTCTGCCGGTGTTCGCTTCGGAGCGGGGCTGCCGGTGTGGGGTAATCTGGCCGTGCCACACCCCAACTTGCTGCTGGTGTCTTTTCAAGCACCGAGTTGGAGGTCCCCAAATAATCAACTCCCTTGAGGGGAACTAGGCATTTAGCTAAACGTTGAGCATGCAGGTCCTCCCATCTTACTTGGCCCATCTGGTGCACAGAAAATATTATCATCACAGTCGGTTTCAGATTTTGTCCAGCCTAAAATTTCAAACGGCTTTGGAGAAGGTTCCAAAACGGGAAAAAACTGAACAACTCTTGGCCTACATTTGGGGCACCCAGGAAAAATATCTGCCGCCGATCCTAGTGGGAAATCCACAAAGCAAAATGAGCAAAGAGCGCGGCTGAATAACTGCCGTGTGCTTGTGTTTGTGTGTGCTTTTGAGGATACCCCTTGTTTGGTTGGTTTACGGGGGAAACACACGGAAAACCCACCGCGGAAAACTCACCGCGGTTGGGGTTGCCCCGGTTTTGACATGTAAAAACCCAACTGGGCAACCGAAGACATCGGGATGCACTCTGGGCCGCCGGTGCCGACACGCCCAACCGCCGCGGAAAATAAGACACGAGTAAGTATGTAAGTAAGTAAATAAATAAATAAATACAAGGAACAACACAAAACAAACCAAACCAAACCAAACCAAACCAAACCAAACCAAACCAAACCAACCAACAAGCAAACAAACAAACAAACAAACAAACAAACAAACAAACAAACAAACAGACAAACAACAAATAGCAAAAAAACAAACAAGCAACAACATAAAAGGGGGAATACAACAAACACGAATCAAGAAACAAAGCCGACCAACCAACAAACAAACAAACAAACAAAGCAAACAAACAAAGCAAACAAACAAAGCAAACAAACAAAGTAAACAAACAAATAAATCGTTGCTTTTTTTTCTATTATTATTATTAGAAAAAACGAAAAACCCAACAAACAAAACAAACACGAAACAGAGAAACAAAGAAACAAAGAAACAAAACAAACAGGCAAGCAAACAAACGCAAACAAACAACACAAAACAAGTCGTGCGTTTCGAATCGCGCCTCGGTGGCCATGCGTAGGGTTTCCAGGAACTCCTGGCCTCTCTGCCTCGCCTTCGGAGGGCGTCATTTGGTCGAAGTGTTTCTTGGGGTTATCCAAGTCAGAAAATTAATATGGCCCTCGGTTGCTTTCTGCTCCCCGGCTAAAAGTGAATCACTTTTAGTGCATCCAAGCAAAATCCCGTACCCCCAGTGAACATCCCAATCTCCACTAAAGTAGACTAGAATGGGTGGTGCACCTACCCCAAAATGGTACCATTGGTTTTGACCCACAGCCATATGTTTCCCTTTCACCCACTACTTTGCGGATGACTTTGCAGTGCTTACCACTAAAGCTTACCACTGAAGCCAGAGGTCGGACGTATGTTTTAAAGCAACCCAGACCCCCAGGCAATGTCCATGGGAAAAAAGGATAAATTTTGGTAGTTGGTTTTAAAGGGGTTCCCCCATCCGGAAAAAAATCGGAAAAACGGAAACGCAATCCACTGGTTGTGAAGGAGAATGAAGCAAGAGGCTGGGATGTGGCTGCTAAAAAAGCCGCATGCGGTTCCTTTGAACCCAAGAGATGGGAGCATATACCTTGCCACCCAAGGGGATTGTCAAAGACTCGCACCCAGGGGCTTCAAACATTTCCTTTTGGGGGCTTCATTGAAAGGGGCAAACCCAGCGATGCTAAGATGTTTTCAGGGCGATCTCCCCTCCGCATCCAAAGCAAGCTCACATCAAACTGGCAAGCAAAGGTGCTGTTTCACCGCCACCGCTTTGGCACCCCAAAAGATGCAAGAAGACCGACCAACCGACCAACCAACCAGTCAACCAGCCAGCCAGCCAGCCATCCAACCAACCAACCAACTAACCAACCAATCTCTAAGTGGAAGTAGACTTGAATCTGTGTTTCTAAGTTATCTTAGATTCAACAGCGCTCATCTAGCTTCTAAAGGCCACCTTTAAATCTGAGATAAAGTCCAAGGAAAATCATCGTCTGTGCACTTCCATGTCTGCTTTTTGGAGGCTCCTCTACAAATACCCAATGTCCATCCTAGTAATCTTCCGACTGCCGTCCATGCTTGTGAAACCTGATGTGTTTACACTAAGAAAGTACATGGCACAATTTCTGCTATGTGGGTATACCCCCTGTGCAAGGAGGTTCCATGCGGTGTCGCCGTGTGCACTCCCGGAGTTCAGCCAGAAGCCAGCGCAGCTGCTTCAGGACCGTCGCCATCTTGACGAATTCCCTCTCAACACGCTGCTGAGCAGCATCGTTCCATACGGCTATCCCTCGAAAGATCCTTTCTGTGATTTCTGGGACAAAGGTCCCTTTCTCGCTGACCGTACTGTTAAGCCCTTTGTTGGACTCGACGTACCCAGGCAAACGTGAGCTACGCGGGCGAGCTTCACCTCACCAGCAATGAGTCCGTAATCGCTATAAACGACTCTCTCCCGAACTGCTTCACGAGACGGAGGCTTCGGCCTCAACTCAGATGACTAAACCCAAGTGGGTTCAATTGGTCACATTTGGGCGTGACTGTTTTTCGGGAACCCACTTTGGTTTCGTTTCAACGGGAGAAGCTGAAACTAACCACAATTGTCCCCGAATTTTGAGACAAAGCCGTTTTGGTGAGGGCGCAATCCACAAATGTGGAGGTTTCCTTGTTGCCCCCAAATTGTGTGTTTCATTTTTTGTTTCCACGCGCACTCAACCAAAACCCTTTCGAAAACCTTGTGGTAAAGCGTCAACCTTGGTGTTTAAAACACGTTGCTTCTGTCGCAACCACCCACTTTCAAAATGAACAGAACTCAAAGACTAAAACACATACCAAGAACAGTGAATCAAGCCATTTGTGAACGTGATCCTCTGCCTCCAGCGCTTGCTGCCGAAGCTCCCTTAGCTTCGCCTTCACCTCACCGCAATGGGCTGCGGAATCCTTGTGATACCCAGTGCTTCCAGGCGTTTCGCCACTGTACATAACTAGGGGAAGGCATCATGTAAAATCTGGTTACCCAGCAATGTCGCACCTGCTTCAATATTGGTAGCCTGAATGTCAAGTTTCCTCGGCTTAAGCACGACCCCCCCATGTTTCGGTACCATGATTCTGTCAAGTTTGTTGCCGGAAACTAAACAAAAACAGCGTCCGGGCAACAACACAGGTCAAAGAAGTCGGCCAACAAGAAACCGGGCAAAAAAATCCAGGCAAACATTAGGAACCCCTTGTTTGAAGTGGTCCCCCAACCATCAAATTGACGGACAATTTCTTTGCAAACAAGTTAGGGCAAGCAGTCACACAAAGGGGGTTGCCCACAAGAGACCCTGATTCTGCCTAATGTGATGTTTTGGGGATCGCTTTAATGTCCAACTTTTTTGGTGGGGGTTACTGAAGCTCCAAAATCAAAGCCTTAGCCTTTTACCTCTAAAGGGTGCTTCACCGAACCAAGCTCTTACCAGCTCAAGGGGAAGGCCTTAGAGCTAGGAAATCAATTTTGCAAGTGGTCGACAAACCATTGCATTTAAGATAGCGTGTTTACGTTGTTTAAACAAAAACCAAAAACAAGGTCGCACAAAGGGGGGGTGGGGGAGTGCCCACGGGAGCCAGTGATCCTGTTTAATATGACTGTTTGGGGGTCTTCTTGAATGCCAAGCTTTTTTGGGGTGGGACAAATCTGGAAAAAGTACATACTAAACTAAGCACTGGGAATCTGAGAGCAAGCCCTGGCATATTTAGACTAGGCAATATTAAACTAGGTTCTGGCAATACTACACAAAGCAGCGGCGATCCAACAAAAAGTGTTGGCAATACTAAAGCAAGCAATGGCAAACTAAAGCTCCCTGCCAAATCTTTATTGACTGTTCTGGGGGGGGGCCCACAGTAAACACGGTCCAACGTTATGGTGGTCATTCACTCGAAGCACTGAGATACCTAAATGGGTCATTCATAAGACTTGGGGGACACCCTTGGTATCACCCAAAGTGGCAACTTGAAATCCGACGTCCACAACAATCAGTGCCCAAGACGAAGCCCAAAGACCCCTCTGGATGTTCAATGTACAGCTTCGGAAAATGACATTTCCGCGCTCGGGCTTCCAACTCACAAACCTACAAGAAGAGGGACAAGATGCAAAGCAACACGGTGTCGCCAAAGGTTGTGACTCCCCAAAATGGTTGGCCTCCTGCTTGTTGTTCTCTTAAAACCAACCACAAAGGAGTACGCCCCCCCCAAAAAAATGAAACAGCAGACCCAATGGTGATTTGAAAGGGGAAAGTGGCAGAGAAATATTACGCATGCGAAACGCTTCTTTTAGGTGGTAAGGGGGCAGGGAGCGAGCCGCATGGCCCATTGACGTGAATGGGTGTCTCCCCGATGGGCCCAGGAGATCCAATGGACCAAATTTCTACCCTCTGGCTACCGAAAGGGTATCCCTCGAAAAGGTCCCATCCATGAGATATTTCAAACAACCCTCAAATCACATGGCCCCGAATTGGTGGTTTGGTGGCTCGGACGATAGGGGTACCTTCCCCATTGAAGGTTGGGGTTCAAATCCCAAACCACCAGTCCAAACCACCAAAGGGGTTACCTGATCAAATGGGTGACGGTCAGAAAAGACTAAACACACACACACACACACACTCATTTGTGGGGGGTGGGAGTCCTTTTGGCACCTTCAGATGATACTATCCATGAACAAAGTACATATGGGTACGTGTTAAAATAGGGGACCACAAAACCGGCGGGGTTCCTTGTGGCTGCGCTAACTTGAACCATATTTCCATGATGATTAACCAACACAGATTTGAATTGAAGCACAATGAAACCATAAACAATATCAACTGTACTTTCTAAATGGCTTTTGTTTGGGGTTTCATGTTTTTAGCCGTACCAGCATCCATTGCCAACATTAAACTAGAACTAGAACAAAGAAAGCGCTCTCAAGAAGCACACACCCATTCAGCTTCTCAACGTATTCGTCCAGACCAGCCCCCAAGAATGGTGCCCCTTTGTGGTAGATGGGTTGCTTCCCGAATTACAGACTGGCCCTACATTGATTGGCCAAGCCAAGTTAAAGCCATTTGGGCGCCATGGACGAAGTCGAAGTCGTCGGCCAGGGCGCCCAAGCCACTCACACAGGAACATGCTGAGCCAGCTTGTCACTGTCAAAGTCCACAAAGAACTCGCAGCAAATGGAACCCTTGCGTCCAGCACACGTGATCTGAGGGCTGATGCCGTAGCTCTCGATCACAGAGATGAGACGGAAGATTGAGGTTGCGTCATAGGTCGAGGAAAGCAAAGGGGCAAAAAGGTGAGTTGAGTCCTTAACCACTGCAATGTTACCCAAGGTTTGGTTGGTTTGAGCTAAGTCCCTTACCACTCGCAAACCAAACCAAACCCACTGCAATGTTGCCCAAACCGCTTCCCACTCCCCCCACCACACCTCCTCCTGATGCTGCAGCTGCGTCTGTGCGGAGCTCACCTCCCCACAGCTCCAAAGCATCAAAACCCAAGGACATCTATGTGTAACGCACAAATATGCGCACGCAATATACATATATATATATATATATGGACCCAAATACGTGCAAGGTCTGCACACTTGTATGTCTATGCATGTGTATATGTATATGTATGTGCATATGTATATATGTATACGCACATGCATAGCGGCTCACGACTCACTCCAATTTCCCCCTTGGGTCGCCGTAGAGGCCTGGTGAACAACTCTGACAGGGCGGGCTTCAAAATGGTTGACATCATCCCCTCCAAAAAATGGCACTTGGAGTAGGGGGAGGTTCATGGGCACTCAGATTAGACACAAAAGCCAATCTCTGGCAGGTGTGGTAGAGGGGAGCGTCATCTCTTGACAAACTGGAGATGCCTCATATACACCAAAAAGTCGGGTGCTGTTGGGCCCGATCCCAGATTTCTGGATAGTGGAAAAAACTCCGGGAACCGGTTGGGAGGAAAAGGACGAGTTCAAAAAGGGGGTCTGACAAGGGTTTGGCGTCCTTTGGATTCATTTGTTGGTTGCAACATGAAAAACCATCAAACACCATTGCGGAAACCCAAGGACAAGGACAGAACATGTGAACAATGCCAACAAAAGGAATCAATGAAACGGAAACTTGCTGGGGAGAAGAACCCTACCTCAATACCTAGCGGACTTGGCAAAACGGACCCTTTGGGAGGTCAATTCCATGTTCGGCTGGCAACCCACCAAGCAAAAAGTTGTGATTTTGCGAGGGTGCGACTGAATCAAACTCCTTCAGCCTGACCATCCCCAACTCGGGAAGCCTTCCAGTGGTGTTGACTTTAAAGGGGCCCACCCCACCCCACCTCACCCCACCCCACCTCACCCCACCCCACCTCACCCCACCCCACCTCACCCCACCCTCCAAAAAAGCGGACACCACTGGAGGGGGCCAACTCAGCCGTCGCCTGGGCGTGTAGCGCCTTGATGTGCCGCTCCCGCTGACCCCTGCGCGAGCGCGCCGGCACGGGTGGAGAATGTGCCAAGCTTCTGCTTTGGTCATCTTAAAAGGGGTCGCTGTTGCGTTTTTTTTTTTTTTTCTCAGGGGGTGTTCTATGAATGGTGTGTGAATGTGTTTTTGTGTTCAAATGGTAGTCTTCCTTTCATAGAAGGGTGTGTTCAAAGGGTAAAGAGACCCCCAAATTCTTGGGGATCCAAATCATGTCAACAAAATATTCAACATTGCAGTACTGGCGACGTCGCAAAATGATACACTTTGCGAGGTCACTGCATCTGGATGCCCTGAGTTGTTCGATCACAAGTGGGTTCCTTTCAGATGCTACATGCGTGATTATCCTTCGCAAGCCATCGGAACCCGTTCATTAGAAACCTTTTCGGCGTGTTCTGTTTTGAGGGGACCCCCAAAATGGTGGTTTTCCTTTTGGTTCCAGTTGTCCTTCTCCTTTTTGCTTTCCCTCTAAACAAGTCGCCTTGCGGAACCTGCTCAGGGCTTGGTCTGGACCATTTTCGTCACAAAGTCAACCTCTGGCGGGTGACGTGTTTGTAAAGAGGGTACCCATCGAGAAGCGGATGGGAGTTTGGTCATCTGGCTAGTTGGAGGTATCTGCAAGAGAGAGCCAGGTTTGTCCAAGATCAAGAAAGACACCCCAGGTCGAAGCTACACCCGAGTGGATTGGTCAGGTTTCAAGTTCACCAACTGGGGACGTGGGAAGCGAGGTGGAGCCCAGAATGGTGGGATCGAGTTCCTTTTTGCAAATCCACGCAAGGGTACCAACTCCAAAAAAGACACGCATCAGAACCCATCCCTTCCAACTAAAATGAAGGTCCCAGAACTTTCGGTCCAAAAGGTGCAAGTACCTTCACACCAATTCTGGAACCCGACCTTTTTGGGGGTCCTGGAAGAAATGATCTTCCTTTTAAGGGGACCCGGGTCCCGAACGTCAGGTTCCAGGTTAATTGGTGGGAGGGATCCTTAAATGATACACCTGAACATTGCAACTTGTAAATGCTGGTTTCCCTTTATCTTGCTGGAAAAAGCAACATGTTTCAAATGAGCAAACTGAATCTTTTAAGGAGCCCCCCCGGGCCCGCTGGCGCGCCTCTCCTGGCGCAGCGCCGTCCAGGCCTCCGTGCTCACCGTGACGGCGCCTGGAGTCCACTGGAACCCGTCGCATCCGCTTGCGATCCGTGCGAGAGGTTGGGAATGTGGGAATGTGGGCATGAACCCTGCGAATCCCGGCGTGTAGAAAAATAATCATGGTAATGAAGAGTATGCAGAATATGAAAAGAAGCTGGGGTCCACTTAAAGGAAACCACCGGTTGGATTGTTTTTTTCGGGGTCATTCCCTCATTCCCTGCCTATCGCACCAGCAAGACTAACATGACTGAAGGGTCCTGGAACACTGCTTTGCCTGAAAAGGATTCTTCTGGTGGGTTCCATGTTGGTGGACAGGAAATCCAGTACAAGGCAACCTGCTTTTTTTCCCTAGGGTTGGAAGGGCCCTAAGTAGGCAATCATCAGGGATAGAAGTGGAACGATCTGTTGACATGGTGATAACCTAGTTCCGTAGGTGAGCAGCCAAGTACACAGATTCCCAGCCCACCATTAGACGACTGAGTAGACCTTCATAATTCGTGGGTCCCTTGCTAGTTGTTTGTCATTCCTCCATCCAAACCCTAAATAGGGAACTCCATCCAACTTGAAAGGAAGACCAAAAGGAAACCAATGTTTTGAGAAACACCCACCAAACGGAAATTCACTTTGGAGAGTCCAACACCCATGCTCAGACCCAAGAGGGGGACGTATAAGGACCCCTGCCTTAGGAAAGGTGAGATTTCCATAGATCTAAGGGTCTTGGGATGGAATTTAGGGTCACTGGGAATATCTTTGGTCTTTTCATTTAGTTCTGACCGGAGCCGACTGGCCAGAAAAGACAGTGGAATAACTCTTTGGGCCTTGAGGAAGAAAGAAGACGCCTGGCAATGAACTTGGGAGACTGAACAAGATGATTCGGACTTGGGATGCAATTCAAAATAAACTCATCAATGGGATTCTCAGTCAATGTCCTATCCTGTTCTATGCCAGTGTTAGTTGGTTCAAAAGTGAGGTTACAACTTTAAAGAAATCCCTATGAGCCCGGTTTGGATGTCACCTCTGGATTCCTCCCTGAAGAAACACACCACCACGGGTCTGTTTGTTTGAGGTGGCGCACGTCACAAAATTAGTGTTGTATTGGTTTCCCTTCAAACCCCAAACACATTACCCTCAAGAAAGACACACATACTCTGAAGGTGAATTACCGTGACTCAGGCTACCTCAACCCGCCAAGTGGGATCAACTCATTTGGGGGGGTAACGTTCAACCAAGGCTTGCCGGAGCCCCTCACAAAAATATATGTTGACAAACCAGCTTTTCCGTGGCAAATAAGGCCTTCTTTTAAAAAGGTTGACATTATAGCCCAACAAAACAACGTCTTTGGAGTAGACCCCTCAACCAATTCCAATGACCCGGGCTCGATCGACCGAGCCTTGGCCGGGGCTGGCATCTGCCTCTTTGGGCCTGAACGGTCTGGGCGTTTCTCAGTGGGTTGATGTACAGTTGACCCCTGAGAAACTTACCACACCGGCAACTATGGGGAGTTGGAGGGCCTAGAGAACCATCTGTCCATGATTTCCGACATAGCTGGACCCCTGTTTCAGTGGCCAAGGGCTGCCTTTCAAATTTTGGAGTGGCCCATGTGGGATTTTAATGGAGGGCCCATACTCAAGTCCCAGGACCTGCGAGAAGGGCTCGTCGCTTTCTTTGTGAGTCACAGAGGTCACCCCATGCCTCCACGAAATGTCCCAGAGACCACCCGTTTTGGGTGTTTTTGCTCTTCGCGAAGGAACCCCTGGCGGCTGAGTAGGTGCCAGCCGCACATGTCAACACACGAGCTTCACAGCTGACCAGCTCACTTGTGAAACCATGATTTTTACCCAAACACGGTCTGATCATTTACAGGTTCGGAGCGACGGGGAGGACCCAATAGCAAAAAAACATGTCTTTCCTTGTGTGGTCATTTTGAGGTTCGGAGCAACCCTCAAACCGGGGATCTAAAAGGGTACTCGGTATACCCGCTTTTTTCAGGGTATCATGTCGACCCTCTACTAAAAAAGGAGGTATTTACCACGGGAAAAAAAGGTTTTCCCAAATATACCTTGAAAAAAACTGGTATTTTCAGTAGGGGGTAGGGGAGAGAGAGAGAGAGAGAGAGAGAGAGAGAAAAAAAAAAAACAGATCGCCCCTCAGCCCCTCGGCCCGTCTTGGGCACTGGCAGATCAGGATTTGCATCCTCCGCGAGCGAGCAAATGCGCTCTCGACTGGAGCCCTCATCCGAGGGAAAAACCTGCCCACCCCCCACCCAAAAAAACTCTTGGAACTTTTTGGGCCTCAAAAGGGTTCCGAGACCCATTCTTTCGTGTTTCGAAGGATTTGCCCCGCGACCTCCCCGGAATCCTGTTGGGCTCTAGATGGTGGTTTCAGGGGAACCCGAAAGCAGTTTTGAGAACCCCCAACATGCTCACTCAGATTTCAGCAGTAACATCACAAAATTATGGACCATGCCCCAAGGGCGAAGTTGCGCAGTCTACGCATTGAACCGAGGCTGCAGGGCGTCAAGCGTCCATGGATGCACAGATGCCGCAACGCAGGACCAAACCCCGACCCCTGGCGACGCGCGCCCAAAACCCGGACAGCCCAAAGGCTCCGAATATGTTTCTTTTTCGGTGTCGCGAAAACGGTGGCGTTAGGTGTTCAGGGTTCTCCCAAAGGGTCGGATCATGAGCATCGATCGGGTGAAGTTTGGGAACCTTTCCAAGTTCCACCATTTTGACCGCGTGGGCGAAATCCACAAAACGCACCATTTGGGATGGATGAAACACCATGCCCAGTGATCCCAAGCCCCTATGTAGGTATTGCAGGGAAACACCTTGTCAAAAGTTAATGGAAAAATGGCCGGTTGCCTGCAATAGTGGCGTGCCTGGGATCCACTGGATTGAATACTTTCCAAGCGGTGCGGGCTTTTGCCCAGCGGGAAACAGGTATCCGCCCCTCCCTTTCGGTCAGTGCGGTCCTGTGTCGTCTCCTGAGGCAAAGAAATGCGACCGGAGCTCAAAAGCGGTGAATCAACGGGTGGATTTAGCTTTCCGCACCTATGTTTGGCAAGGAGGATGGTTCCACGGAAGGCCCACAAGGGCACTCCAATGTGACAGATGTATACATGTCTGTGTATGTGTTGTTTAATGGGTAATGTTGGGTTTGCTTGGGGAAGCCAAAAGAAAATATGTTTTTTTGGGCGGGGGCCGTTGGGGTTCCCAATTTTAAGACAAAGCTGAAAATATTACGCCCGGAGGACCAAATTCTTGCAAAGGATGTTAAAGGCCCCGCGTAATCGGGTTGGGTCGGGATCCAAGCCGAACAAACAGCATCGGGGTTCGTTCTACAGAGCCCCAAATGGCTCCCTTTTCTCGGGCGATCGCCTGCAATTGCAATCGCTTTACTGTGCACGTTGCCGTGGACTCTAGCAGGTAACCAGGATTTGGACCTCTAGATGGGTGTGTCTTTTTTTGAGGCCCTTTGTGGGGTTGGTTTCAAGGGAAACCAAAAGGGGGGTCCGACCTTAAAAATGACGCACCCTGAGCACCTCCCTTGGCCACATGGGCCGAAGCCAGCGCGACGCAAATCGCTGGGGCCCCCACTTGCAGAGCCATGGTCTCGGCCACATCTTTGGTGGGCTCACCTGCGCTGGCTGAAAACCAAGGGGGGTGGCCCCTTTTCAAACCCCGGTTCTGCCGTTACGTGCCGCCTTTTTAAGAGAATACCAAAACGGGCCCCTAATTGTTCACCTCAGGGAACTCTGAATAGTGTTGGCCAGGGCGGATGATGGGTGATCAATTTGATGATGCTAGGTCTATTGTGGTTTCCACCATCAAACCGATAGCCCCACGGAGTTTTGATGGGACCCTTCATACAGTGGCTATTCAGTGGCTGCATATCCCATCAAACCGAAAACCATGTAAGACTGATTTCCTGGACAGAATCCGTGTGCCACATGTCACAAAGGGATAGTATTAAACTTCGGCCAAACGGCTCCGGCATGCATCCTAGCAGTGACAGTTTGGTCGACAGGGCAAAATAGAAACGAGGAGAAGCGCAGAGATCAGGGCCAAAGAAGTACACACTCATGGTCCTCAAGTAGTTTGGTTTTTGAAACAAGCATTCTGCAGTCAACACCGCTCTACCGGCAAAGCTCTGGGAATTGGAGCCAGGTACAGGCACCAACACGTCTTCCGGGGCGGTTTTTGAGGGTAGCTTGGATGGCCTTGCAAGACACAACGGACCCCTGATTCCCACCAGGGGAACGGTAGAGAGGGTCGGAAGTTGCGGAAAAGCAGTGCTGCAAGTTGGTGTTCAAGGTTCTTCGAAGTGTGCTGATTCCAAAGCAAGGTAAAGGGCAGCATCCTCAGCATCGCAAGCATCATTTGGACAAGCTTGGCGGTATTTCACTAGGCTGGTATCACATGATGCTGGCGATGCTGGAGATGCGGACTTCAAAAGGCCGACACCCGTTGCACAATGGGGGCTCGCCCCGAAAAAACTGAATGGCCAAACGCAATTTCCAGCAACCGTGACCCGCAAAGCATAACGGGTAGCACTCCCACGTAGTACTACCACACCCAACAAACAAAACTTGGCTGAACTTAGTCAATGGCCGAGTGTTGTCCATGCATAGTTCGTATCGCTATCCCGCTTCCCAATTTGTTCATTTCCCTGCTCACGTGCCCGGTGACCTAAAACCGGGGATTGCCCCTTTTTGTTTGGCTGGCATTCTTGAAGGGAAGCCCACCTAAAAACTCTCAAGGTCGCCAGCAACTGGGCCAAACAGAGCTCCAATTTATGTTGCCCCGTTGCCCGGCACCACAAAGGACGGAAAATCAACAGCACTCAACAGAGATGGAAACATCTAGTTGGACCTGGCATTTGCAATTTGAACCCAAGGAACATCTAGTTCAACCCACCAAATGAGACCCCTGGCCCCCCACCTTCGCCTGCTGGCTCCACTTCTGGGGCGGGCGCTTCGTCTCGCCTATCCGAATCTGCAAAACTTCTGGGGTTTTCCATGGATGGATTCCCCTATAATGGCAACTGGGGCTAAACTTCATGAATCCTTGTCAGTCGCCATTTTGTTAGGGCGAACGCTGCTGAGCCCGTGTTCGGATGCCTCTGATGGAGGGACAACCACCTCCACTTGCCATGACTCACAGCCTTGGATCATATGCTGTGAACTCATCAAATGGAAAAGGCTCTCCCTGTTGTTGAGGATGGTAAGCCAAAGCCAACCAGATTTGGCTGCAGGGTCTGCAGTCTTGGGAGTCTTGGGAGTACCCGAAATTGGAATCGAAACACATGTCGAGATCGAGACTGTGCTGTGGCTGCTTGCCTTGACGGCATAGATGGGAGACCCACTAGTATCCTGTGCGAATGTGTGTGGATTCGAATGCAGCTCCGCACAAGAAACAGGTCTCTGTCCTTCACCAGTAGGTTCGCGAATAGGTTCACCAGTGGGTCAAACGAGCTGTGAATGGAACCATCACATCCGGTCCATTTGGGAAAGGTCGCCGGCCGGTGCACCAAAGTTTCAGGGGCACACGCAAGCATTTGTAAGTATTTGCATCTGTTTTTGAGGGGACCCTTGTTTGGGTTGAAAGGGAAACCAAAAGGGACACCATCATTCTTTGTGATGGAGCGCCGTGAGGAAGTTTCGGGATGGTCAGCGGTGTCCAGGTCTCAGAACTCTGGGCCAAATCCAGTGACTCCACACCTAAGGGACCCGGCCCCATGGTGTTCTTTCAGCCCTGCAAAGAAGGGACCCCCCAAAATTGCACTCCTGTCATTTCTGAGACCTCCCAAAATGGTGAATTTCCTGTTGGCTTCCCTGAAAAAAACACAGAAAAGGCGCATCCTCAAAACAAAAACACCCCAGCACGGCCCAACCGGGCCGGGTCCAACCCCGCCCGGAGTCCGCAGCCTCGCCTGGCCACCTCGTGAGGCCTTCCCGCCGCCGCGTCGGCCTCGAAAGGGAGCCATGCCGCCGCCCGTTCGTGAGGCCATGGGTCAAAACCCGAATCGCACCCCCAGTGAACATCCTAATCCAACCACTAAAATAGAGTAAAATGGGTGGTGAATTCAGCTACCCCAAAATGGGATCCCATTGGTGTTGACCACAGACAGATTGTTACCCTTTGGGCTGTCCGTTTTCAGATCCCCCGCTGTTGCAAACGGGGCTCTGCAAAATCGGGCGGTCACCCTGCAATTACCCCCTCTGCAGGGTCATGGAGGCACGGAGACACAGCCCAGAGGAATCTTTCATTTTGGAGGCGTGCTGGCCCAAGATCCTGCTCAGCTCAGTGCCCGAAGATCCTGGATCTGGGGACACTGCCAATTTGGCCCCCTTTGAGCAGCACCCGAAGCCTATGGTTGGAAAGGTTTACAGGTGCCTTTCTATAACCCGAGTTAAACCAGGTAGTAGAACCGCTTCCTACACACATGCGCGAACGAGATCGAGCCCCAAAAAGTTCTACTAAAATGGCCCATGGGGGCTTTTGGAGCCCATTTGGAGACAAGCCCACTGAGGATTGGCCCCAGATTCAGTTCCAAACGCACCAGGTCTCTGAACCACCGAAAAAAATGGCAAGACCTTCCCCCCACTCCATTTTTAACCTCCCGCGCAAGCCATGTTTCTCAGAGTATCGTTTTTGCTTCATTCTCCGGATCTGAGATGATCCTTTC